AGGAGGGATTTGGGGGTCTGAGGTTGGGGGTTTGTTCCTGTATGTGCTAGTGGTTCGAGCTCAACATCTGATGGGGGTCCTGGTCCCATGTCCACCTGACAGCTCTGCACCCAGGGGTGCTCCTGGTGCCACATCTGCTGGAGGTTCCCAACTCTGCACCCATGGGTGGTCCTGGTCCCACATCTGCTGGGTGGTCCCAGCTCTGCACCCATGGGTGGTCCTGGTCCCACGTCTGCTGGGGGTTCCCAACTCTGCACCCATTGGTGGTTCTGGCCTCCTATCTGCCCACAATCCTGGTCTGCACCCATGGGTGGTCTCAGCCTTACATCTGCAGGGGTGGTCATTGCCTTGTACCCACTCAGTTCTGACTCTTCACCCACTGGTGGTTCCAGCCCAGCATCCCCTGGGAGTTCTGGCTCTTCATCCACTGGTGGTTCCAGCCCAGCATCTCCTGGGAGTTCTGGCTCTTTAACCACTCATGGTTCCAGCCCAGCATCTCCTGGGAGTTCTGGCTCTTCAACCATTGCTGGTCCTGGTCCCACATCTATCCATGGCCCTGTCCCCAGCCCTGGGTGGCTCCAACCCACACCCCTGGGTGGTCTGATCCCATCCCTACCTCAATGTCAGGAATGTTCTCCACCAGCTGCCGAGCAATGTCCTTGCAGCCACCTTCCAGCGCGTCCGGGGGCATCTCTCCATCCGAGTACCAGTCGCGGTTGGCAGAGTGGGCGTAGGCAGCGCTGGGCGTCGCGTGGGTCACACGCGTGGTGGTGACAATGCCCACGGCCTTGCCTGCACCACCAATTCAGGGGACGGTGGTGAGAACACCCCCGAAACCCATCACTTTACCTCCCCCCCCAGGTGCCCACCAGTCCCTCACCTGCATCCTTGGCCCAGCGGAGGATGGAGGTCACCTCCTGGCCCTTGGTGGTGTTGCAGCGGTCGCGGGTGACACCGGCGCTGACTCCCAGTGTCCCCTCGTTGGCTTTGACACCGCAGAGGTAGGCGGTGGCTGTGCCTGCACTGTCGGGCACCTGCGCATTGGTGTTGTAGGTCTGGGGGGGTGGGAGATAGTTATCACCACTGTCACCACCGTCACCACTGTCACCACCGTCACCACCGAATCTCCACCACCATTGTCACCACCACCATCAGTACCATCAGCACCACTGTCATCTCCACCCTGGGGCTTCATCTTTGTCATTCCCTCTTGTGCTGTTTGCCCACATGGACCCCAGCCCACCCACGTCCCCTCTCTTTTGCCCCTTGCCCCTCCTTCTCCCCTTGCTCCCCTCAATGTGGTGGTTGCATTTTGCTGCTTTTAGCTGGTTTTAAGCCCACATTTTGGCAGGGAGAGAGAAGCCACCGCCACGGGCATCCCAGCGGGGCGTACGGAGCTGGTTGGGACTCACGATTTCATCACAAGAAGAAGTGTTTTGTTCAGCAGAAGGACCCCGAGGTGGCACGAGGGTCCCACGGCCGGGGCAGCTCCTGCCGCTCCCACGGGCTGGCACTGGCAC